TAAGATGTGTGGACTTCAACTCCCAGAATTCCCCAGCCAGCATGAAGTCCACACATCTTAACGTTCCCAAGGTTGAGAAACACTGGCCTAGAGGCTGCCGTTAGGGCTACCCTGTCCTGGTTGCCAAAACTCCACAGGGCCAATACATGGCAGCAAAGAGACACCAAGAGCTACTTTTGCTAACTCTGGTGGTTGGGCAGATTTTTGCAGGCCACAGGTGATCATCCTGCTGCCAAGGAGATGACTGGACTATGCCTTGAACTGCCCCTATACCTGTTTTCTTTCCATAGGTGGGATTGCCATGTGCTCTGGTGAAGTTTAAAAGAAGTTTCACTGACCATGTTTAGCAAAGAAACAAGGCACAGAGAGAGGGAGGAGGATGACGATGACGAAGATGAGGAGGAGGAGGAAAAATAGGGAAGGGAAGGGAAGGGAAGGGAAGGGAAGGGAAGGGAAGGGAAGGGAAGGGAAGGGACCTCTGCCAAAGCTGAAACTGTATTTAAAAAAACAGCAAAGGAACTGAAACCCTTTTACATAAACAAAAATGCCTTTCCATTCAATGTCTAATTGAAATCGGTTCACTGGAATTTTCCTAGGAATTGAAAGAAGGACAAAGAACTTTGAAGCAAAGACCAGATTCCAATATCAGGAAGCATACAAACCAACCTTATTTATTTTTAAACTACAGGTAGTCCTCGACTTAAGACAGCAATTGGGGCCAGAATTTCCATCACTATATGATGCAATCGTAAAGTGTGACTGCATTGCTTAGTGACAGCAATCCCAGCAGTCCCAGTTACTGGTATTAACCAAATCCACAGGCGAGGCAACTTCCTGCCAGCTTCCCACAACCAAAGTCAATGGGGAAGCTGGCCAGAAGTTGCAAGTCGCAGGCAGGCAGGCAAGGGAAGTGGCTGCTGCTGGCTGGCAGAGGGTGACAGGGTGTTGGGGTGTGCAGGGGAAGGTCAACAAGGGTGTGAGGGAGTGTCTGGGAGAGTAAATGAAGGTGCAAGGGGGGAGAGACATTGGTCAGGGAGGGCACGCAAGGGTGCTAGGGGATGCGAGAGGGTGCACGAGAGGCACGGCAGAGGTCATGGGAGGGTGCACAAGGGTGCAAGAGAGACGCAGGGCAGGTTGGAGAGGATGTGGGGGGGTGCGCAAGAGGTACGGCACAGGTTGGGGAGGGGGAGCGCAAGTAGCCAGTGTGGCATGAGTGCAGAGGGGCTGGGGGAGGTTGCGGGGGTGGGAGAGACACCCCAGCAACTTGTCACCTTCCCTGCTGCCTTCCCCATTGACTTTCTGGGGAAGCCAACAGGGAAGCTTGTAAAAGACAATCATGTGATCATGGGGCGCTGCAACCAGTCGTAAGTGCAAATCGTAAGTGCAATCACGTGACCACAGGTGCTGGGGACTCTGAGAACTGGTTGTAACTACCATTCATTCAGCGCTATCATAACTTCGAATGGTTACTGAACGAATGGTTGTAGGTCAAAGACTATTATATTCCTGCCATCACAAACCATTTCCATATGTTTATGACAGTTCATTTGAGACATATAGGTCTTGCTCTGGACCTCAGAAATGTTCCAGTATAAAGGTTAATGGCATGTTTTCTGCAACTTTCCCACTACTTAGAAGAACTAGACAATGGTGTCCAGTGTCACCCTTACTTTTTATATCAGCCTGGAACCCTTGGCTTGTGCTATTAGACAACATAGGGAGATCTACAGAGTAGTACATAACTCACTTGAACATAAATTAGTTTATTTGCACACAATATTCTTTTATTTCTAAACTTCACGCTGCTATTCCAGTGTTGATGCAAATGATAGATGCCTGTAGTAAAATAGCAGGATAGTCTATTAACTGGACCAAATCGTAACTGATGCCAATAGGTAAAAATTTGGTTACCCATCCATTTAAGGAATATCAATTCCATATTTGTACCAAATCCATTAAATATTGAAGTGTGTGTATACCAAAAGATATAACTCAATTAGCAACATATAATATAAACTGCCCAGAGTCGTTCTGCAGTGAGATGGGCGATAACAAATTTGAAATATAAAGAGAGAGAGAGAGAGAGAGGTTTCTTCCGATATCGATAGATTGGGGTCATTAAACT